GCCGCGCGGGGAGGTGAGTGACCCCCACCCCACGGCACCCACACGGCACCGGGTTCAGGACCGACCCGGATGGGTGCTTGGCGTCGTGGCGTCGTGGCGCCGGGGCTGGGTGCCGGGGCTGTGCACCAGAGCTGGTGCAGCAGGATGAATCCCCCTGCCCCTTTCTCCCCTGCACCCATGAGCACCCGTTTGCAGCACCCGAAGCTCAGATGTGTCTCAGGGCTGAGGTGCCGGCAGGATTCGGCACCCAGAACCAGGCGCCTGGGTCCTTCCTCTGGCTTTGGTTGATGTTTCCAAGGGGAAGGGGAGGGATATGGGTGTCTCCTGCCCCCACACCCCCCAAACCCTAGCACGGCACTGGGGTGCTCGAGATGTGGGGGAAAAAAGGGGGTCCTGATGCTGGGTGCCCCTCCAGACCCGGCTGCGGATGAGAGGAACACCCGGGGTGCCGGGAAAAGCACCGAGAGCGAGAACTCCTCCACCTCCCAGTTCAGCAATGTCAAGGTGGGCACCCCCCACCCCGATCCCAGCCCCTGCCCCAATCCCAGCACCCCCCCAGGGTGCTCTGCCCCACCCGTGGGTGACACGGCAGGCGCCTGCCTAACACCCCAGGAGACCTGAAGGGACACACAGGACACCCCGGGGAGGCACCCAGAGCACCCAGGGCACCCCAGGAGACCTGAAGGGACACACAGGACACCCCGGGGAGGCACCCAGAGCACCCAGGGCACCCCAGGAGACCTGAAGGGACACACAGGACACCCCGGGGAGGCACCCAGAGCACCCAGGGCACCCCAGGAGACCTGAAGGGACACACAGGACACCCCGGGGAGGCACCCAGAGCACCCAGGGCACCCCAGGAGACCTGAAGGGACACACAGGACACCCCGGGGAGGCACCCAGAGCACCCAGGGCACCCCAGGAGACCTGAAGGGACACACAGGACACCCCGGGGAGGCACCCAGAGCACCCAGGGCACCCCAGGAGACCTGAAGGGACACACAGGACACCCCGGGGAGGCACCCAGAGCACCCAGGGCACCCCAGGAGACCTGAAGGGACACACAGGACACCCCGGGGAGGCACCCAGAGCACCCAGGGCACCCCAGGAGACCTGAAGGGACACACAGGACACCCCGGGGAGGCACCCAGAGCACCCAGGGCACCCCAGGAGACCTGAAGGGACACACAGGACACCCCGGGGAGGCACCCAGAGCACCCAGGGCACCCCAGGAGACCTGAAGGGACACACAGGACACCCCGGGGAGGCACCCAGAGCACCCAGGGCACCCCAGGAGACCTGAAGGGACACACAGGACACCCCGGGGAGGCACCCAGAGCACCCAGGGCACCCCAGGAGACCTGAAGGGACACACAGGACACCCCGGGGAGGCACCCAGAGCACCCAGGGCACCCCAGGAGACCTGAAGGGACACACAGGACACCCCGGGGAGGCACCCAGAGCACCCAGGGCACCCCAGGAGACCTGAAGGGACACACAGGACACCCCGGGGAGGCACCCAGAGCACCCAGGGCACCCCAGGAGACCTGAAGGGACACACAGGACACCCCGGGGAGGCACCCAGAGCACCCAGGGCACCCCAGGAGACCTGAAGGGACACACAGGACACCCCGGGGAGGCACCCAGAGCACCCAGGGCACCCCAGGAGACCTGAAGGGACACACAGGACACCCCGGGGAGGCACCCAGAGCACCCAGGGCACCCCAGGAGACCTGGAGGGACAACCAGAACACCCTGGGGAGGCACCCAGGGCACCCAGGACACCCCAGAGAGGCACCCAGAGTACCCAGGGCGCCCCAGGAGACCTGGAGGGACACCCAGAACACCCTGGGGAGGCACCCAGAGCACCCAGGGCACCCCAGGAGACCTGGAGGGACACCCAGAACACCCCGGAGGGTCATGCAAGAGTACACAGGGCACCCCACAGAGGCACCCAGAGCACCCAGGGCACTTAGAACACCCTGCATAGGCACCCAGGGAACCCTGGACAGGCACCCAGGGCACCCTAAGCACCCTGGATGGGCACTCAGGGCACCCCAGGCAGCCCGGGGAGGCACCCAAAACACCCAGGGCACCCCAGGCAACTTGGACGGGCATGCAGAGCACCGTGCACAGGCACCTGGGGCACCCAGGGAACCCTGGACAGGCACCCAGGGCACACTAAGCACCCTGGAAGGGCACCCAGGACACCCCAGACAAGGTGGAGAGGCACCCAGGGTGCCCTGAATAGGCACTCAGGGCACCCTAAGCACCCTAGATGGGCACTCAGGGAACCCCAGGCAGCCCGGAGAGGCACCCAGAGCACTCAGGGCACCCCAGACAAGGTGGAGAGGCACCCAGTGTGCCCCGGGCACCCTGCACAGACACCCAGGACACCCTAGATAAGATGGAGAGGCATCCAGGGTACCCAAGGCACCCATAGCACCCTGGAAGAGCACCCAAGGTACACCAGGACACCCTGGAGAGGCATCCAGGGCACCCAAAGCACCCTGCACATGCACCCAGGGCATACCAGGCACCCTGGAAAGGTACCCAGAGCACCCAAGACACCCTGGAGAGGCACTCAGGGCTCCAAGGGCATCCTAAAAAGGCACCCAGGACACCCCAGAGAGGCACCCAGGACACCCCAGAGAGGCACCCAGACTGCCCAGGGCACCCTGCGCAGACACCCAGGACACCCTAGATAAGGTGGAGAGGCACCCAGGATGCCCAGGGCACCCATGGCACCCTGGAAGAGCACCCAAGGCACCCCAGGGCACCATGGAGAGGCATCCAGGGCACCCAAGACACCCTGCACAGGCACCCAGGGCACCCTAAAAGGGCACCTGGGGTGCTCAAGGCACCCTGTACAGGCACCCAGGCTACCCAGAGCACCCTGGAGAGGCACCCAGGACACCCCAAAAGGACACCCCAGCACAGCCCTTAGCCGTGGGCACCCAGAGCCCCTGAGTGCAGCCCCCACAGGCACCCTAGGGTGCCACCCCACCCCAGACACCCTCCCTGCACCCAGATCATCACGGGCGAGGGCAGCCGGTCCTTCGGGTGCACGTCCCTTGCCGAACGCGCCCGATGGATCGAGA